ATATGTAACCTGACACATAGATGTTTTAGATTAATTGACCAAATCTATAGGATCATTAAATTCTCAGTAGAATCTGATATTCAGCTCAAGCTTAGCTTTACTTAACATTTACATAAAAGTTAAGCCAGCCAGCCAGCCAGTTGGAAAAGCTAATGAAGTGTGCATGGTTCACACCAACTTTGAATCTCATGTTCATAAATCAGGAAATGTTCATCCCATACACATAGAAACTGAAAAATAAGGAGAAGACAGAAAAATCAAATCCCCCCAAATCCTCAGATTTGGTATAATTACATCATACAGGAAAAGAAAAGAAAAGCATCATAGATACAATCAGAAGATCAAACTGGAATGAACTTCTCTTGGACCATAGAATATTTATAAAAGCATGTAACAGAAAGGAACACCATTGAGGACAAGATGTTGTTTCTCAGAGAAAATCCATTTTATTGATTGTTGGATAGGTTTAAGTGGTGTTGTGTACTCTCTCATATTATAATTAGCTAGGGACAGCATGATACAGTAATAGCTTCTTGTAAGTCAAAGAAAATTATTACTGAAACAGTAATAGTTTTCTGACTTACAAAAAGAAAACAAAGATGCCCCCCAAATAAAAAGAGTAAAGATGGAAAAGGACAATAGATAATTTCAGTTTGAAGTGGGCTAGCTATTACCAGTATGATACAACCACAGAGATGATAGGAAATCATTTGAAAAGATGAACTTGACAGAGTAGTGGTTGGACTACTTAGTCCTTATCAAAGCCAAGTCCTCAAGTCTATGTTTCTAAAGCTCAAAAAGTAACGTCAAACGTCTAATATTCACTCAATTCAAGCACCACGATCTACCGAATCATTCATGATGACGATCTACCAAATCAGATTGAACTCATCCCAATTTGGTCTGAAAGTTTGTTTGGCTTAATTTGTTTTCAGTTCTATGCTTAAGAACTGTTTCGAAGATATTAGTTTACACAATACTGAATAAGACTCAAACATATTGCTAGGACACCATTTTCTAATCATTCACAAATATGCACTAGAGAGGTCACAGGAGGCTGAGTATTAAGGATAGATAAATACCCATATAAAGGTTTTACGCTCCACGGAAAGAATGCTATTGAAGTGACAAATTGGGAGGCTGATGGTGATAGCTTCAAGTTGTCTTTCAACTGATATGAAACTGCTGTCCAGACAAAAGATCTGAACCCCTGCTTCCAAAAATTAAGAATGGTGTTAATTATACCCAATGAGGAAATAATAAGCTTCCAACAAAAAATATTTGATCACCTCTTAAATGCCTTTTGTAGGTGTATGGAGAACCGAGAGGTTACAACCACTTGATGTTTTTTTCTTTTCTTTTTTCATATTCACTTTCCTACCCCTCTGTAAATGCTGTTTAATTCGAGGAAACAGCAGAGGAACACTATACGCCCGCTCTCTTAACATAAAAAAGGCTGCCAAAATACTCTATCAGAGTTTGAGAGGTCACATAGAAGACAAGTGCGAGAAAACTTTAAGGGTTCATTTTGTTCAAGTACTAGTTACACAGTAATTATAATGCAAAGAATGTTTATGCAGTGAATAATAATGTAGTTATTGTCATGCAATGAATAATAATACAGAGAATGTTATGTAGGGATTACCTACTTTAAGAGCAACTGCAAAAACTTTTATCTACATATTGCTAATATACATATTTTTATTTCCACATTATATCTCACATAAAAAAGAAATTAAGATCCCTGCATAAGCTACATCGTATTAAGCTTAACACTGCTAACCAAGTGATGCATTACTTATGTGGCCAACAAACTTAACACTGCCAACCAAGTGATGCATTACATATGTGGCCAACAAACAATGGATTACTTATCAAATATTTATTTTTCTTATACAGCCAACTGAACATATAATTCAATGCGGAATTTTATGTAGAGAATATTTAGCAATGTAGCCAATCAAATGATCCCTAAGATATCTCATTGAGATACACAGTCGAGATAACTGCTATTACAGCAAAACTTATATTTGCTAGATAAGAGAACAATAGTGTTGGTTCACTATGCATAATTTTGTCCAAGCTCTGCTGAGACTTCATTCAACAAATTTGAAGTACTGATGTCAAAAAAAGAGACTTCGTCGGAGCAAATAAAAGAGGCAACAAGGTGAAATCATTTTGCTTATGGACAGCAGAATATTGAGTCCAAGATCTTAATATATTGGTTTTCTAGCTAATGGTGTTAGTATCTTGCAACGGCTTTTCCACATCTGGTCCTGTACCATATTTCATCAAACCTCTATTGAGGAGTTGTTCTTTGTGTTCAACTGTCACGGGTTAAATTCTATGTTTTAATTTATTGAAGTCAATGCGCTTAAAAAGCACATTGAGGACTTTTATTCCTCTCTCACTCCACCACTAGGGTACCTATGGAAGAAAAAGTAAATAGGGTTTAAACATTTGCTGAACAGACACAACGATTGCTAGTTTTTCTGTTACAACTAAACTGCAATTTCCCCATTTCTTGAGAACGAAAAATTTGATGCACTTGGCTGGTGAGCTTAAATAAGCTTTGTTGAACTTTCCACATTTCAATCCTCTAAATCTTCTACTAAATCCACTAAAGTCAGTACTTCCAACATGGGACTGGAGTAATGTACTTTTCATTCTCAAACAAAGAAAAGTACTTTCGAGTTGCTCTTGACCCAAAGACCTCCTTTTGGCTTCGATTCGCACTGCTTGGATCAATCAAACTGTGATCTTCTGATTCAACAATCACTATCCAACTATGTTTACCTCAACCACAGAAAATTTACAATGTATTTATACCCAAGACGAGATGAAGTCGTCTCACCAGAACATACAAAGTCTTTTGAAAACTGAATGGCATCCACACCTAAATTCTCCGGCAGACCATGTTTTTGAAGGGACACAAAATGAGCCAGCAGCTTTTTGAGTTGATTTGAAAAAGATCTCAAATCATCACTACCATTGACATGTTTTATGTGTTAAGCAAAATCAACTTTTTCTTAAAAATAAAATAAAATTGGGGGTAGGGGAAAGGAGAAACGGGAAGGGGATTACAAGATGGGGAACTGAACACTCACCAACAAGGTGAAAGTTCAAGTAGCCAACCAACTAAGCTACTAAGATTCTCCACACAAATTATGTTTAATTGGCACCCTGATGATTAATTTTGATGGCAGAAGCAGGAAAAAAAGTAGCCAACAAATAACCTTGACGCATTGCTAACCAACGTTGTTGCAATGAACACATCCAACCCATAAAAAGAACTGATCCATAGGTTAAGATAATCATGTCACCTAATACAACAAGGACTATACATCAATTCCAAACTAGCTGGTTCGGCTATATGAATCCTCAATATCCATTCTACTCCACTTAGCCCGTTTCAAATCACTCCAGGTGGAGATAAGAAATTCCCAGAACAGGCAACTCAACAAAATCTTGAATTTTGACTTGGAACAATTTTTAAAAGAAAACAAGCCAGATTTAATCTAAAAACCCAGAAACCCCATCATTCACAACACTAAAAAAAAAAAAAACACCCACTCAACCCCAAATGCTGAACTGAGAAACAGAAGACATAAATCATCATGAGTATATATAAATTGAATTAAAGAAAAAAGATGGGAAATAGAAGGCGAACCTGTGTGAAGTAAACGAGGCAAACAAGCCATAGAAAGGAAGCCCCAAAAGCAGTATGTAACTGCTTAAACCAACCGATCATTTTGGAATCGATCGATTCAGTAAAAAAAATAATAATTTGATTCTTGTTTTCTCCAGTCGTTCCTTTATATGGTATAGAAGACTGGAAAACTGGGATGCCCTCAGATTACATGGATCCTTTATTGAAATCTATCTATAAACTTGTTGCCATAGCTGCATTGACGTATTCATTACTCCTCTTTGCCATTTTTCTTCTTCATTTTCATCTTCTTTGCCGTTGTTAAGTCCACAGTGGACCAGCGCCTACATTGACCCGAGTAATTGTATTTTACCCGATTTACATTGAAATATAGTAATGGACTATTTCATTGTCTCGAGTTTGAGGGTTGAATATGAAGAAAAAAAATCATAGTGGAGCATTATTGCAAAATGAGTCGATTTAATCATAATTCGAATATGTCCTTCAATCATCAGGTGGAAAAACAACAAAAAAACTTAACTGGAGTTCAATAAAAAAAAACATTGTAATTCTTATAGTTTTAAATTTAAAATATTTAAAAAGTATCGAAAATGCATAATACATAAAAGTACTATTAAACTTGGTCACTTTTGATATCTATACCTCAAAATTGGGTATGTATAAGTAGCTACGTGTTTAAACTTATATAATGCTGAATAAGTAGACATACGTGTCCTATATGACACAATATACATCCCACATGACATCATATAAATGAATTCGGGTGTTTCTCACATAAATTGTTATATATGATGTGGGTTCTAATTGTTTAGCTTTATGTAAGTTTGAATGTTGATCTCAGCACACTCAAAGTTGAAATGCATAGATATCAAAGGATCAAAATGTTCTTATACTTGGTCCAAAATGTCCTTATTGTCCCTTAATGAGTCAAAAATGCCTCTTTCAAATAAACATATTATTTGTTTTCTTTTTGCATATATTCTTTTCCTAATAATATTTTTTTTATCAACGGATGTTTATCCTACTTCAATTCGCAAAAAGATAAAAATAAAAATAGTTCTTATTTTATATAATTATTTTTTATCGTTATCTAAATGAATATTAATTATGAATTTATCATGATCTTTTAAAAACAATCTTTCAACCTCCACGAGATAGTAGTAAAATCTGCGTACGCTCTATTATCCCTAGACTCCACTTCTGGATTTCACTGGCATGTTGTTGTACCTAGCAGACCATGTATTCTTTGCTACAAGAATTCTTTCATAATTTGACTATCTTTACACTAACCTAATCATCAATTTAACTGAGTAAACTGAACAGACAAGTGTTACCAGATAAATCCAGATTGCTACTGGATTTTCAATAAAAATCAAGGCAACCAAGGATACAATAACAGTAACAAGCTTACATAGCTTATACCATATGATACATTATATATTTATTAGATGCAGTATGTTGGAACGTTGGTGGGACGATATACAAATGGTCTGACTGTGTGTGAATATCCTGAAGGATGATTGTAGCTGAACTTCACCCCGGAGTTGCTATCTCCCAGACGTGTACAGTGCTCGTGGAAGCTGCTGATAGGTCTTGCTAGGCATGCATCCCAACGATCACTCGCTGGCATTGTCTCAGCTACTCTATATATCCCCTTGGAGTCTGTGAATGCCTGATAATTCAGAACTTCCCCGGTCTTCGTAATGCAAAGAACTGCAACCTCTGCACCTGCAACAAGGAAATACGATAACCTACTTCAGATACAATGAAAATTGAACTGTTATTATTATACATGTATCCGTGGATAAGATAGTCTTGCACTGCGTGTTGAACCAGCATCAACAGTACACGCAATCACAATCATCAGCAGAAACATAGTTGACAAACCAAAAAGAGTACAAACACTTTGTTCTATGCCTTCTTTGCCTAAAGTTTTGATACCAAAAGATGTCCAGAGAGACAACTTATAACATAGAGGCACAATGTAACATCTATTATTATGAGATAACATTAAAACATTTGAAAGTAAAAATTATGCACATGAGTACCTAATGCTTGGACTTTATCCCAAGAGATTTTTTTGTCACAGACTTAAATTTTGATTGGTCTTTCGTTTGACCTTAAACGTGCAAGAGTACAAGCCAAGCATATTCTAGACAACAAGAATGGGGTGAAAAGTAAAATTTGCCATGAAATGAAATGTATGGAACAAAAAGTGGGGAAGGAGGATAGCGAAACTAGGATCTACCAATTAGATTAACATTGTGATAGACATTGGGCGTGTTACCCTTCTCACCATCATGACATCATTAGTGGAACAACCAAACTATCATGGTACCCATGAGTAATATTGACACTGTTGAATAATCCAGTCTTGCTCTTTTGTTGAGATTGTTTTTATTTTTTGATAAATTAGGAGAATTCAACGTGCAAATTCTTGATAGACTTTTGGAGTTGGTTAATAAGAGAAGCCTAATATGAATGAGTCATAAATCAAGTTTCCTGACTTTCTATGACACTATTTTGGCACCTTTTTTCCATAAGCCCATTGACAAATACCAAACAACAAAAGCATATGAAGTAGCAAAGTCTATAATCAAGGAAACGTAAGGGATAAACTAAGCATGGCAGGATAATCAAACAGAAGCATAGAAGGTAGCAGGAAGACTGAAGTAGAGAATTACTGAACATTAGGCATCTAGTGGCTATGTTGCTCGAACTCTTCAAAAGTGTCAACAGGTGTGTGTCGGATTCTCCAAAAGTAGTGTATTTTTGGAGAATCCAACACGAGTGCGGCACCGAAAGTGAAGAGTCCGCACTACTTAGTCTACTGGTGCAGTAAGATTCTCTTAATTTTCTATCCTCACGGATGAGATTAAGGGTGATGTTGAACATGCACAGTGATGGTGTTCCACCAGTGCAATGCGTCAGTACTTGAATACACATCCCAAGAGTTTCCGTGTGCTTCCAAGCCCATCAGCTTTCACTTTTGCATTTACAAATTCAACAGAACTTTGTAACGGGAGATATTCTAATCTATACAGTTCCAGGAAAAGGAGATAGATTTATGGTGTCAATATTGGTAAATAATAACTTCTTTCCCTGGAGCACACAAAGTATAGAGGGTTGCTTAGCCTATATATCTATGTAAGTGCATACGGATAGGTACATGGAAGGAGAGGAAACAGAGAGCATTATTTAGTCCTCTTCATTATTTCACGAATCTGTTTTACTTCACTACATATTTAGCATCGAATATCAAATAAAACAAATAGTCCATCAGAGTTCAAATCTTATTGGTTAGCAAAAAACATGCTCTCAAATATTCTTAACAATGTCACCATAAGATTACCCAAAGTAAATTGATTTCTATAATTTGATGCACCATTTACTAGAAGTCCAATGAATCTTGTGATTTTTTATTGCATTAATTGTCTAATCAGTGACTCACTCATCCCTCTATCCCAAAACACTTGCCACGTTTCGCTTCTCAAGAGTCAATTTGACTAATCTTCGGAGCTATATTGGTTTAGATAAATTCAATATTTTAAAACTACTATTTGAAAACTATAAAGGAAGTACAATAAGTTGCTATTCTTTTTATATCAATACGGTGAAAAAATACATCTTAATATATGGGTCAAAGTTCATGTAGTTTGAATCTCGAGAAGCAAAAAATGACAAGTAATTCGGGATGGAAGGAGTAATAAGAACTCAATGATTAGGACATCCAATGCTTTAGCTTACTTGTAACTTGTAACTAGGTTCATGAACATAGTGCTTTAGTTTTAACCAACCAAGTTAGAAAATGAAAAGAGTAACTAAATAGAAATGAAGAAATAACTTGGTTTCCCTTCCGGATGACATAGAAGGATGGTCTCATCTGTTGGGAGCCAGATGAGTATGCTACGCGTAGTTATCCAAAACGGCCTAGGGCTGATAACAGAGTTGAAAGTTTGGAACTTTAGTTGATCCATACGGTACAAACACCCGTATATTTGGCTTTGAGAACACAAATTCTTAAAGCAGGCCAACTTTTCTGAAACTATCAGCAAGCATCCAGCATAAAATATAACAATGATTTAATCAAGCAAAAAAAAATAAAAAATGTCCAACATGATTCTGAAAATCACTACAATTTGGAGAATCTTAGTAGCTCAATTGGTTGACTATCTAAACTTCAAAACTCGCTGACGAGAGTTTAATTCCCACCTTGCACCCCTCCCAATTTTCCCTTCCCCTACCCCGATTTTTCTGACCATCAATAAAATTAGTAAATCTCTCAACTATCATCCAAAGCTCTAGAACATCAATAACAACAAAAGCTAAAAACAAACATATAACAACGGATTCGAACCATAGGTTCTATACCCAACTCATTTAGTGGCTATTTGTCCATGAACATTTTTTACTTTTTTGGGGGTTGAGTACCGAAAATCATGTTTAGCCATAAAATTTCAAAAAATTCTGAAATTCGAAAAACACTAAAAAGTTGTTCACTTTTTCATTCCAAATCACTCATAAAAATTTAAAAACAACTCCAATTAATATTCATGGTCAAGCAAAACCCAAATCCCAAAAACCATTTTTCACTTACAAAAACAAAAACTACTTCATTTTTTTTTCAAATTTCACAATTTTCATTGTCCTAAATAGAAAGTTTTGCTATTCATTCCGATTAATCTGAAACTGAAGTTTCAGTGGTAAAGATCGTAGTTCTCGAACGAGAAATCGAAAAAAATAATCTACAACATACACCAGTATAAGAGTAAAGAAGAAACCTTCTAGAACATGGTCTTCTGGACCAACAGAAGAATCAGCACAAACATCACAAACAACTCTTCCATGAATCTCTCCAGTCCAACCTCTAACACCTTGTAGGGTCAAATTGGTAATTAGAGTTAGGTAAAGTAATACCTTACCCCAACTTGACTCCATTGTTGCTTAGCTCACTGACTTCTTGATTTCATTTTCATAGCACAAAAAATTGGACCGGTAAGACTTTTAATCAAGTGGTTGAGAGATGGTTGGACCGGTATCTTGAACCCGGTTCACTTGTACTAGGTGGGTTTCGTCGGTGACTCGGTACTTTTGGAATTTGGAGTATTATTAAGGACTATCGTAATTTTCTAAACAAACAAACCTATAATTTATGATAAAATTTGACTTAATATTAAAATTTAGGGCTCGTTTAATGCTGGTTTAGGAGGGTGCATACAATATACACAAGTTAAAAGCTTAGTCTAGTGGTTAAGGTCAGTGGCGGAGCCAGGATTTTCGCCAAGGGTGTTCATACTTTAGGACAAGTAAAAAAATAAACCTTGCTAGTCAGATTATAAAGATTGGCTTCAAAATAGTCATACCTCAATATCAAATTAACCAAATATCCAAAATGAAAATTCTTAAAACAGAAACTTACAAAATATCAATGGATAAACTAAGGAAGATGAAGTAGGACAAATATATTGACGGATAGTTTCATACACACCAAAATATGTAAATTGTAAAGTGGTAACTACAATTGCACTCGACGACACTTCATCTCTTGAAATGTTTTCATAATACACTCATTAGAAACATCTTTAAATACTTTTTTCTCTACATAAGGCACTATGCAACCATTTAAATAGACCTTTTGTTTCCTTTTGTTTTTCTTAACTTAAAAAAGGTAACTTTTGTACTTTTTCTTAAGAGAAAAACGGAACAAATATTAAATAAATGAAATGTTCAAGCCTGGGATCGAACCCAGGCTGAGTTTTGCCTTTTCTAAGAGAACAAACGGAATAATGAAAAAATTTAAAGAAAACGCCAACACTTGGGTTCGAACCCGGAACGCTGAGGCATCTTTGCACAGCCTTAACTGCTGGGCTGTCAACCTTTATTGTGTCAAGGTTGTTCAACAGTTAGTATATATCCAAAAAAACTCGATATTTAGTATATATACCCGTAAAAATTTTCCGACGAAGGTTGTTCATGTGACCACCCTCGCCATGTCATAGCTCCGCCCCTGGTTAAGGTGTTGTGAAAAATCCTTGAAGTTGTGTATTCTAAGCTTAGTCTAGTGGTTAAGGGGTTGTGAAAAGTCTTTGAGATTGTGTATTCTAGTCCTAGAAGCCACATAATTATATTTTTTTACTACAATTATCGACACCCCATAATTATATTTTTTTACTACAACCATCGACACCTCTTAATAACGATCCTGGATCCGCTATTGTATAAATTAATAAAGAAGGATACGAAGTTGGCGTACAACGGCTAAGACAATAGTTTTTTAACACATGTATGAGGAATTAAAGGACAAAGGTAGGGATAAGAAATTGTACAAGATAACCAACGTGAGAGAAATGAAGAGTCCTGACGTGGATCAAGTGAAGTGTAACAAGGACGAGGACAACAAAGTTCTGGTGGAAGAGACACTCATTGGACGGAGGTAGCAGACATACTTTCATAAACTCTTGAACAAAGAGGGAAAAAAACATTATGTTAGGGAGTTGGAAGCACTCAGAGACACATCGCAATTTGGGGGTGTTGTAGGTGTATTAAGGTTGAGGAGGTTGAGAGTGTTATCCTAGGATGTAAGAGAAGAGTGATCGACGAGATCTTAGTAAAAAATTTAAAGAGTGTAGGCAATGTAGGTTTGGAGTGGCTTAGTGGGTTGTTTTGGTCTTGTAAATATTCATGAATTTGAATTAGCCGTAAACGTTCTAACTTCTAAAGCATAATAATGGATTGTTTCGCTACTTAATAATATTACATGTGTGATATTTTCAATTTGACAAAAGGAGTTGTGGTTCAAATCTTAGGATACCAATATCTTCGTCAACTTTTAAAGTATTTACACTAACAGAAAGTTTAAATCTAGATAAGATACTTTTCGATATGCGTGATATTATGAGGCTTGTTACAAAGTAGTGGGGGATTGTTAGAATAGTTGTAATATAAAGGGAAAGTTCTCACATTGGTGGGAGAAGCCATCCTTTATATCCTTTTAAGCTTAGCCCATTTAGTCTATTTAATAGAGTAAGTCTACTTTTATATATATATATATATATATAATAATAATAGTGAAGAATTATGCAGCGCAATTATCAAAGCTATAGTTATAGAATCTTATTATGTCTATTATGTTTGTTATTTCTAAAATTTTCTCTTTAATAATATATATCTAAATGACTTGGGTGCAGGTCGGGTCGGATCTTTAATTAAATTTAAAGATTTATTTTTTCGTAATTGATTTGAACAAGTTATTTATTTAAAATTTGAATTTAATATTTATTATCTAAATTTTAAATGAAACAAAAACTTTGTATGTTCAGATAGGGAGCAACAAAAGTTTTATCTTTTTAAAAAATGAAGCACCTAAAGGTTGTGATTGTTCAGAAAAGGAGTGACTCTTTCATGAAAAGTCATTTGTTCATGAAAGAACATGACTATTATGAAAAGTCATTTGTTCATTAAAGAACATGACTATTATGAAAAGTTATATGTTCATGAAAAAACATGTATGTTATAAAAAGTCATATGTTAATGAAAAAACATGACTGTTATGAAAAGTCATCTCTTAAGTTCTATAAATACGAAGCATTCCCAAACGTAGCGTATTCAATTGCATATAGGTTTCAGGCTTTGTTGTATCATGATAAAAAATTGTTTGTCATCCCTTAAGAATATACAAGCAATATTTCTTTGTTGTTTTTTCTTCTGACGATTACTTCTTAGAATTTTATTTTCATAAATATAACGCACACGCTTAACGTACGTGTCTGAATACTAGTTAATTGAAACGAGTTTCTAGTGCTCAAACTCAAGAGGAAAAGTAGCAGGAGAGAAAAATTTGGGTCATAAACTCCGTCAAAAATGTTATTATTGACCTACTATTACGGGATATGAAAAATAAATGAGATTTTACCTCGTGATTTATAGATATCACATTTAAAGCTCAAAAATGAAGAAAAACCTCCGTAAAAAACGTTTCACCGTTAATTAGACTCTACATGACCATAGTCTGAATTAGTCGAATCAGTAAATAATTTTATATTATCCTTTCCCTCCCGAAATAGTTGGGTCATTCATGACTAGGCAGGTAAAACAACATTTTGCTAAAATTGATTAGAAAGTTTTTTTTTTTTTTTTGATTTCCTGGGAGACCCAAAAAAAAAGAAAAAAAAAAAGATTTTGACTCTTTCAGGGATCAAAAAAGTTATCATTTATTTTTAATCTTTTAGATACGAGTATATCAAATTTTTGAATACATGTTGGAGTCCTCTCTAAAATTAATTACAATCACATTGTTTTTTTTTTGACAAATTCCAGATTTTTTATGATGATTGTATGAATATTATAATTTATAAGATATGATATCATATATTTTTTGTAAAGGGAGGAAAATAATTAAGTGAGAATGTTCTGTTTTTCATGTTGTATGTCATCATCATCAGATCAGGACAAAATTAATCATAAAAATTCTTTGGCAAAAAGTATTCATCATCAAGAACAACAAAAAGATACCAAATCTATTGCCTCATTTGCCAACATTTCTATTAAAACTGGTAAATTCATTTCTTATTTTGCTTCATCTCATGTATGCACACAATTGTTGTTATAATTATTATGTATTTATTTTGAATTGCATGGCTTTTCTCATCTTAGACGGAGTCAGAATTTTTAGTTTATGCGTTTTGTACCATAATTATTTTTGTATATTGGATTCTGAATAGTATTTATATATATTAAATAAGTTTCTTAACAAAAATATAATGAGTTCTCGTGAAGGATATAGACATTTGGTGCCTATCAAGAAAAATGAAATGAATAGCCCCAACCAACAAGCATGTGATTTCGTCATTTTCCCCCAAATATTGCAAGTAGTCCAAAAATGTTGCCAGAATTTTTAGTTTATGGGTGCTGAACTAGAGTTTCTTTTGTTTATTGGATTCTGAATAGATTATTTATACATATTAAATGATTTTTTAACATAAATACAGAGTTTTGAGCCAAAGCTACTAGGTCCTGTCGAACCCTTAGCCATATTGTATGTATTGTGCAGATAGCAGCAGAAGGAGATACATAGTTGAAGAAATAGAAAAGTATGGAAAAGGAAACATTTCAGCTCAGACAATCACATACAATGACTTTTGTCTTGCAACTAACAACTTTGACTCTGAGTGTTTGCTTGGTGAAGGTGGTTTTGGGAAAGTCTACAAGGGCCACATTCAAAGCAAGAACATAGTAAATACTCTAATTCCCAAATTTCTTTAAAATCTACGTACAATCAAACCTCTCTATAACAGTCATCCGCTATAACAACATTTCACTATAACAATTATATTCTCTATACCAGCATCTCGTTGTTATAGAGAGGTTTGACTGTTTCCAACATTATATTATAGTCGTGTTGTTTTAGTTATCAACGGTATGTGTTTTTTTTCAGGATGTGGCTGTTAAGCAACTTGATAGGAATGGGTTCCAAGGAAATAGAGAGTTCCTTGTGGAGGTTTTGTTGTTGAGCCTTCTTCATCACCCTAACCTTGTTACTTTGGAAGCATACTGTTCAGACGGTGATCAACGAGTATTAGTATATGAGTTCATGTCAAATGGTTCACTAGAAGATCATCTTCTTGGTATGCATTACTTTTTACCTTTCATAACCATTCATTCATACCATCGCCGTTAGCAAATAGTTAGCATCTCTATAGTTACTGACATATATACATACCTTTGTTTGGCAGAGATTGGTCCAGAACAAAAGCCACTTGATTGGATTACAAGGATGAAAATCGCGGAAGGAGCAGCAAAAGGACTTGAATACTTGCACGAAACAGCTAATCCTTCAGTAATTTACCGCGATTTTAAAGCATCCAACATACTTCTAGATGAGAAATTCAATCCTAAGCTTTCTGATTTTGGACTAGCTAAGCTAGGTCCAACTGGTGATCAGACTCATGTTTCCACCAGGGTCATGGGAACCTACGGATATTGTGCACCGGAGTATGCTTCCACCGGTCAATTGACCACTAAATCTGATGTTTACAGCTTTGGAGTTGTCTTTTTGGAAATAATCACAGGAAGAAGAGTCATTGATAACTCATTACCGAGCGAAGAACAGAACCTTGTTGTTTGGGTAAGTTACAAAAGTTCAATGTGCTTTAGTTATCCATTATAAAGGAAATTTTACACTATCAGATCGCTTAAAAGATAACGTTGTGTCATTTTGACATATTGTTATGTAGGCAACACCACTGTTCAGAGACAAGACGAAGTTTCACTTAATGGCGGATCCATTGATGGGAGGGGATTATCCAATGAAGGCATTGTACCAAGCACTAGCAATAGCAGCAATGTGCTTGCAAGAGGAAGCTAGCACACGGCCTTTGATGAGCGACGTGGTGACTGCTTTGGAGTTTCTATCAGGGAACAAGAAAGAATTAGATGCAGAGGACGAGGACGAAGATGAGGAGAAGGTTACAGAGGAAACTTGCAAATCCCCACCTGCATTGCAAAGTTTTACGAGTAGACTTGAACGTGCAGAAAGTCACGATACAAATGGCATTAGAGAAAGAGATTAGAACCTTCTGTGCATAACCAAAAACTTTTTTCTATCTCGATAAGATTTTGCTGGCTCCCCACAGAGCTTTAGAAGTACATATCAGAAGTATTTTGAAAGAATGAAACCAATGGTGTTAGAAACTAAAACCTTCTGTGAATATATAAACTTTTTTGTTTGCTAAGTTTTGTCAGTTTTTATATATAATGTAGTGTTAGTCTTAGAATATGGAGTTCATGAATCTAAGTTTTGATAGAGTAGTCTCTGTCTTTGAGGAATTTAGGCCTTCCTATTAATTACTCTAGGAAGGTAAAAAGTTCAATATTATTATCGAACTTTGAGAAAAAAGCTCAATATTATTATCGAACTTTGAGAAAAAAGCTCATTTATGTCATCCGTTAATAGTTTGGCTCAATCATGCCACTACCATTACAGAAAGGGATCATTCATGCCCTTATTTTTTAACGGTCAGATTTTGATGATTTGGCTTTTTTTTCCTCAAACAAGACATTATACGTAGTTATTGCAAAAGAAAGACTGATCATAGTCACTAATATTTGTATAGTTATTGCAGCAATCCTTTCATATTTCGAAAGTTGTCAATATTAAGTTGTCTCAGAGATGGAAACCTTATTCTTGTGGGGAATCTAGAATGAATAGTATCATCCTCTTCAACATACTCCGTGGACCACTTGTATAGCACTAGAATTTCTAGACAAGGCAGCTCACTAAAGGGTGGTAAGCACGAGCAGTTCTTGCAACCGATAATTACATTAGAGACAACATTTTTCAAAACTACTAAGTGATTCATCTCGTCTGTCAGAGAAACCAACGGACATTGTATGTTTATAATCATTTGCATTTATTTCGATGATATTACTGCTTGATGCACTTGCCAAAAACTGATCAGATGTAGCCAAATCATGGATGAGATCATGCATCTTGAAATAAGTTTTAGTAGATATTCATCCCGTACTTCATTACACACATCCTCTAACTCCAAGTTTCCTCTCGATAAAAGAAAGTTGTGTGCCATCCAGAGAGAGATTAGCTTTTCTTTTTTCATTTCCAATAGCCACAAGGTTAGAATTTGTCTCTTCTTGGCGCCCAAATGCACGTTGCATGAGCAAACAATCAACAATCTTGGTGAGACAGATATGACAATTGATATATGGTTTCAAAGTTACCATAATTGATCCAACCTTTTCAAGATGAGTAGTGGTTAGAACAGAAGCACCACTTGCTCCAACCTTCAAGACTTCTCTTATATTATCCCACTTATCTTGATCTTCGTTCCAAACATCATCTAAGACAAGCAAATCTTTTGAAGTGGAGACCAAGTTCATTTCACCAAGTGACGTTTCTTCAATAGATTCTACAATTGCCTTTATCAACCTCTTCTCATTAAAATCTTCCGAGACACAAATCCATATTTTGGGATGGAAATGCTCAGTTACTCTCTGATCATTGAAGATCATTTGGGAAAGAGTCATCTTTCCTAATCTCCCCATACCAAGTATTGAGAGGACTGGAAGTTATCACTATCATTCTCTATCAAGATTTTCACTATCTCATCCTCATCTTTGTCCTTTCCGTAATACTAATTTAAGATGAGCACCTGTTTCTAGTCTAGCAACTTGTCTCTCTATAATCTTTTCATGCAAACAAAATTCTTTCCTTAGCAATTGCATTTAGTTTCTTCATCATTTCTTTCATCCTCTTCTCAATCTTGTAACGGAAAGTGATAGTCTTTGGATGATTAAGCCCTAATCGAGACTGTTTGAGTCTTGCTGCAGCCTTATTTTTACATTGTCCAATATGTCATCAACTTTATATGCAATAGCATTGAGTTTCTGTAACCAGCTTTTGATTGCCTTATCCTTTAGTTGCTTCTTCTGAGCATCTTGAAGCACCACTTGGATTGTAGAAAACCTGTTCCAAAGATTTTCAAAACCAAAAATGAGGCAGCAAGACTCAAGCAGTCTCAATTTAGGGTGTAATCAATCATCCAAAGGTCATCGCTTTCCTTCCTGTAGACCTTACACTGTTGTTTTATGATGGTCTTACGGAAACTACCTCTCTACCTCCACAAGGTACTGGTAAGGTCTTGGTACAGTCTATCCTCCCCAGACCTGACTTAGTGAGATTTCACTGGGTATGTTGTTGTTGTATTTTCAAAACCGAAAAGCAATACAAGAAGTGATAGTCTATCAGAATTTGAAGGAAAGCTTCTGTCATATGTCTAGGGTGGAATTGTAACACAAATTGTTGAAGAGTAAACAATGAATTCAATGTTACTGCTTCGTTTGTCATGAATTACTTTGTAATAAATCCATTAATGGGAGAAAAATATATACTTTTCGTGTCATGAAAACTTCATATATCTTTTATGGAATCTCATGAATACTTTGCTTTCTTTTTAATCTGTATGTCAAAGTCTTCAACACACAGCTTTATACAATATTGTACTCAATATATATGCTTAATATATAAATATGACCATTATTTTGGCGTCAGATAGGAGTGACAAACAAGCCAGTAGAGTCAAATCTGAGTTGATAAAAAACGAGTTAAATAAAAATGGATGAAGTACTCGACTCAACTCACATTTTAAATGGGTAAAAACGAGTTATCCAATGAAAAATATGGGTTACCATATTATAATAGAAATCTTGTAAAAGCTTTAAAAACAAAAAACTTTGAAAAGTTTTTTTATCACTTCACTCCACCCCTACCAGCCCCCCTACCCCCTATCCCCCA